GGCGCTCGACTCGCAATCTTAGAGCCGCGGGTTCGAATCCTCGTCCCACCAAATATGCTAGCCCTTTCAGCCGCAGGGGCGTTATAATGTGACGGTCAATCCCACTATTCGTTGGTAAAAGAGTTGGCAGTGGGTGGTGATGACTAGCTTCCTTCCCTTTAGTCTTTCACTGCTAAATTAGGGACGGTTAGCGCTAATAGTCTTCGTGTAGCTTTGCGCGAAATTCAAACCAAACCATGCTTAAAAGACAGGAATTTCTCATATGCATTCTTTTGTATTTTGATCTTTAGCTATAAGGTAAAATGGGTAATAACAAAAAGATTTAATGTCAATAGTTTATCTGTAACTTTTTAAACTAAACCTCTTAACTTTCCAATTTCATTTTTTCGACTTACAGGTTTGAAAAGGATTAGATGCTACTTGAGAGAAAAAGTACTTCCATATTCATCAAATCAGTAAGTTTGTTTGTTTGTTCATTTCAAAAATTTTGCGCAAACCTACACAAAAGGCTACCTACCAATAGCCATCCCTAATTTTCAACTGGCCGAATATTGGAATTTGACCGTCATTCTTTTAAAGGCTTTTCTAAAATTGAAATGAATTATTTTCGAATTTTAAGCACAATCAGCTATATGTGATGAAACAGCCAATTTTCCAGTTTAATTAATAAGCAACCTCTGGCCTTCGGAAGTCTTCCGCAAAGGTAGCGCAACCATAAGGAGTCAAAGCTCATTTTAGTGATATGTTTATTGTTCATTCTTTATGTAACGCAGTCAGTAATCGTAGTGTACGTACATAAGTAACGAGAAGTTCATATATACAGTGAAAGAAGTGTTTACTATACTGATACTCTCAAATAAATAACTAAACTGTGAACGTAATTACCTCATTTATCAGTCAGTGATTATATCTAAGGTACGATTTAACAGCCCCCCCCCAGTGGCACAACGCTAGAAACCGGGTTTCGATACCCGTAGTGGGCAGAGCACTGTGCCACTGGGGGGGGGCTGTTTTTTTTTTTTTTTGGGCGTTCTCTTTGTTTGTTTTTTGAATTTCGCGCAAAGCTATACGAGGGCTATCTGCGCTAGCCGTCCCTAATTTAGCAGTATTAGACTAGAGGGAAAGCAGC